TATAGATGCTGAGCATTTTATCTTAATAGTATTTTAATTACATACTCATGATGAGTGAAATGTAACTATTTCAGAAGCCAGTCTTCTTCTAATAGGAAGAGAATTTCATTTTTATTATCATCTTCCACCTGACTCTGAGATTTATACAATGGAGATAGTTGGAATCTCTTCATTAATTACTCCAGAGTTTTATATAAAATTTCAAGAAAAGAGAAACACATCATAAACATTTAGAACTGGAAAGACACTACAGAGATCTTCCTAGACCAAATTTTTCATTTTATAAATAAGGAATGAGTGGTTCCAACAGTTAATTCAGCTCTTGTCTCTTAAATTTTCAGTGCCTACAACATTTTATGTTGTTGTCGATAAATGAATTTACAACATAAAACCAATTGCACTGATGCACACAAGGCCTGTTCTCAAACATCTACTTTAGCTGAAGGTAGCAAAAGAGTACAGTTAATTCCCAAGGTTATTTGAGCTATAACTTGGAAATTTTCTAATAAAACCTTTAACCTAAGCAATTAACCAAAAGATGCTCTAAAATTCAAGATAGTTAGTCCATGAATTAACAAAGATAAAAACCTAAAATAAATGAGGAAATTTTATTTTAATTATGGGTTTTATAAAACCATTGTTTTTTAATTGGCAGCAGACTGATTAGACTTGGAGAGATTTCAGGAACCACTGAAAAGGGTTGTCAACTGAAAGGCCTTAGAGTATTTTTAATTAAAATCATTGGCAAAAAGATGAGAGGCAAACCAATTGTAACTACATTTCATGTATCAAGAGGTCTACAAAATAATGCTCTGAGAATGGGCACAGTCAGAATGTGCATGTAAAATATTTTATGGAGAGTAAAAACAGGGATCTCTAAAATATGAGAATGAACTCTGAAAAGAAAGGCAAACATAGAAATTTTCATCTTAATGCTTTTGCATCTATTTGCATTTCTGGTATTATGAAAAACACTAGCTTATTATCTTCAACCATGTTTTTACATTACTTACATGTCTGGCAGGAGTTTTAAAACTCTCAAAAGGACATAAATAATGTAGAACAGATATATCCATACATAATGATCACTTTCTTTATTTGGGAATCCATGAGTACAGACACAGACACACACAGCATAAGCATGTACGCTCATGTTCAAGGAGAGGGGAATTCTGAGAATATTAATTTTATCTTTAAGATATTTGTGCTCATAGTTCACAACACTGCAAAAATGGTCATTAGGAATATAGCAAAATATTGATAAAATGGGAATAAGAGCTATGAACTTGCACAAGTCATAGAATGTTCCTTATTTCTGGCAAAGAAGATAATTTAGTCTGTTTAAAAAACTCACAAGGCTACAGAACTTCTGGACTTATCTAGATAGATATATTCTTACATCTAAACTCATGCTGCCAAGTCTAACATAAATTACCATAATAAATTATAAAGCGAATAATATCCCCTTTCCATAGTATACCATGATTTCAGTTAAATGTGAAAAATAATATTTCAAATCATTTAAAGTATTAACTATAATGAATTTCTGACTATCGTATTCCCTAATTACAATCAAAATATAAATATGTCCACCAGGGGCACAGCATTTAGGAAAAAATAGCTGAGTAAATTTCAATGAGCACGTTTATAAAAAGTTTGGAGGAAACATAGGGTCATTCGAGTATTTAAATAAGTCAATTCAAGGTGTATTTCATTTGCTCTCTTTTCTCATTTTAAGCATCCACAGAGCAAATGTTATTATTCTTTTTAACTTTTGGAAACAGAAAGTATTTCCATTTTCTTAGGCTGCCTTCTCATCAACTTCAGCATCTTCAGCTTGTGTCCAGGTATTATTCAAGCCAAACCTGACTCTGAAATGCAACAGAGCAGCCCTCATAGTTGATTTTTTTCATGTTTTGATCTCTTGCCATGCTACTGTTTCATAAGGTCAAAATCCCTCAAAGCCTTGACCTGAATAGCAGTCAAAATTTCAGGCACATGATGAGCACACGAGCACGATCGGATGCCTTGTCATCTCAGTCACAATTCCAGCACCCTACTGGATTTTAACCATTACCAGAAATTCGCTCATTCTTTATACCAATCATTTAAAAGGATTTTTAAAAGACTGAGTATATTGTGTCATTAATGTGACTATTTTTCCCCCACAAACATGCTGGAATATATGCATACAAGTGAGCTTTGTTCTTTAAAGTCACAACCTTACCCTCAACATTCTTGGAATTCTTATGCAATTTTGATTAAGTTCAATGTGACACGTAAGAAAGAAAATCACTTTTCTTTTTTACTTACAATATACTATTTCTTTTTTCCCTCTATCTCATTTTAATTCCTCTTTCCCTGGGTAGCTTCCTAAGAGCCCCCCACTCCCAAGCAATGATTTGGATTGGGCCTATGATAGTGCATTTTTGGAAAAAACCAAGGAGTGAAAAGTGAGACATGAGCTTAAGAAAGGCTCAAGCTTAGTGTCCTAGGAAGCAACTTGATAATATAACTCCATTTATCTGCTTCTGGTCTGGTATAAGAGTGTATAATGGTTTAAAAATAAATTTTAAAAAGATCATAGTGAACTTACAACAAGCTGCCCAGACTCACTGAACAGAATGCCTTGCATATCAGGAGAACCTTTTTTTTCTTTCTCAAAATGCTTTCATGTCTATGGTTTTATTTTACCCTCATCAAACCCCAGTGAGCAAGTAGAGCAGATATATGTTATATGTTGGAAATCATTATATAAAGAATTACACAAACCAAGGGCTTCCCTGGTGGCGCAGTGGTTGAGAGTCCGCCTGCCGATGCAGGGGACGCGGGTTCGTGCCTCGGTCCGGGAAGATCCCACATGCCGCGGAATGGCTGGGCCCGTGAGCCATGGCCGCTGAGCCTGCGCGTCAGGAGCCTGTGCTCCGCAACGGGAGAGGCCACAACAGTGAGAGGC